TGGAGCAATTTCAGTGATATATTTCTTCCTCGATGCGAGAAAAGCTTTTCTGCCAATTCACACATTGAAACCATTGTTCTCCACCATCCGCTCACCAAAACCCTTCGGGAATGATATTCCGCCCCTCCCCTCTTCTCTCTGTCAACTACCAAAACTTGCCTCCTCCATTTTCACCTAAAGCCACCCTCAAGGAACGCTTTAGACTAACCATACTTCACACCCATGAGTCCTTCCTTCCTTCTACTAAAATTCCTTTAAGCAAGTAACAAACAATTCCACCTTTTCCGTGCCGAAAATCTCTGAAATTTGAAAGCTTGCCTTTCTCACACAACTTTATGCCATCAATCTTTCTTCCTATAGCCTCAAAGTCAAAAAAGACTTCCTAATCCTAGTTGTGGACACTGCCATGGAAGTCTCAGTTCTAAGAAAAGTCTGAAAAGTTTCTCAGAAATAGCAAAGAGTCTCAAAAAGGTAAAATTAACCACAATTTGCATTTCTTTGATGCTCCTGCGGAGGAGACAAGTAACTACAAGATCTTTTTACTATCGCAAGATACTCTTATATCTTCTTTCAAATGTTACTATAAACAGATATCAATTGAGTTGAGTGTTGTGACGACGGTGACTATAACTAATAGAAGACAAATGAATAACACTATTCTTGCTTAAGAAATATGCTCAAACTGCTAAAGTGCTTTAATTTATTAAAGCATGTAGGTTCTTATTTAAACAAATAAGTGACTACACATTTGGATCAAATACTAGTTATAAAAAACAAACAATTATTTTTTATTCACAAACTAATAAGAACATATTCGTTATAAGATAAAATAATTATTTTTTGTTAAAAAATTAGTAAAGTTATTCATTTATTGTAAACATTTTATAATTTATACTACTCAATATATGTTATTAGTTTTAAATGGATATGAAGAGGATGTTTGAGTAAATGTCAGATAAAAAAATAAAAAGTTATTTATCTTTACCTTCTTAAAGTTACTTTGAAGAATGTAATAGGCACTTTTTAGTAAATGGGACATTGAAGCCAAGTAGTTGATGCTGTTTATAGTTATAAAATAAGAAATCTCAAATATTTTCTTAGTTTCTCTCTACAATGTCCAGATTATATCTCCAAAACCATCATCTTTAAGCCACTTGCTCTCAGACTGAAATGAAGTGTGCTCCCATTTAATTCCGTAAGTATCTAGACAAATATGATAATGATCAGGGTAAAGCGAGGGATGATTTCTTGAATTAAGTTCAGCACCCACTCCTCAAATTTGGAGTCACCACGAATATTTCAATTCTATAGAATATTTTGAAAAAATTTCAATTCTAGAGAAGGTTGCATTGTCTCTAAAATTGAGCGAAGTCCATTTGCCTCACCTAGTTTATTGAATAAATTGACTGGATTATAACAGTTCACGTAAAATAGTTGATCTTTTGTGGGAAGTAGAGTAAAGTACTTAATCGAGAAGATGCTAACCTTTGAACTACTAAGATACCTTCCTTCAAGTCATAGACTTAGATAAGGGTTTTGATATTCTAAAAAATAGATGGGTGAAGACCCTAGAGTTTTTGTTGCTGGGTCATCCAAAGGAGGTCTTGGAGTCGTTTCTGTTAGGCTCCTGAAGACTGTTTTGTAAATTTCGTAAATGGGTTGCACCACCTTATAGTAATACATTTTATACTTTTCCTTTAAAAAAAAAGTTGCTTCAAGACTATGACGTACTAAGAAGGGAATGCCAACCATATCACAAGGGATGTTAGCTAGGTCTTTCATCTTTGGTTATTAATTGATTTTGCAACTAAAACAAATTTGTAGAATATAATTGTTTGTGCTTTAATTTTCTTTTATTTTTTGGCAGGTTAAAGGGATTAAAAGGAAGAACAATGTGTTACGGTATGCTTTGGAATATTATGACTTCCCTGATGAAAGTAAGTTGCCCATCTATTGCTGTATCAATTGATGTATGTTAACTTTTATTCTATAATGGAAATTTATTATTTTTTTTATTGAAAGTAAGTTTTGTTATAAATAAAGCTTTAAGAATCGGACATCTATAAAAGATGTATTAGAACAAGGAAAATACATATATGTGTGTTTGTTCTTTTCGAGAGGAAAAAGTGAGTGCATTAATGGAGTACTAAGGAGTTGTTTTCTCTGCATAAAAAAGAAGGCGTTATTTACAAATTAATTAAAATGTCTATAGGTTTTCCTAAATTTTCTTAGGAATCACGAGGGTTATCCTTAAATGAAAACAAATGATTTTGAGCAGTAAATAGTTTCAAGTCAAAATGCAAGAAGATATCCTAGTAACAGAGTGAGAGGACAAACTAGAGAGAGAAAAAATCTGGAGAGAGAAAACTGAAAAGGATTGCCGTATTATTTTGTGCCAAGAAAGTGGGGTTCCATGTCGAACTCTACAACCAAGAGATTGTTGATTGTAGAAAGGAAGTCTTTTGACTTGTATTTGGTGGGCAAAAGGAGTGACAGGTTGAGTATCAATGAGAACAGAGAGGATTCAAGGTCACGATTAACTTTTAGGGATAAGAGGTGAACTGGTTGAGCAGATGTTTGAAGGCATTTTATTTGGAAAAAAGGAGAAGGATGGGGGGTGAGAAGCATGATAGGAGAGTCGCTCATTTTGTTGATGGCATTAGGCGCAACAATGGTGGCACGTTTTTTCCATTAACAAAGAAGAGGGGAGGGAAGGAGAATCATCATTCCTGAAGGTGCTTGCAGGTGATTGATGGAGGATCATATCAATAGTGTACAAATTTTGTTGGTCTTCTGGTTGAGCTTAAAGGAATGGGGAGTTCGAAGCAGGAGGCTCTTCCTGTATGCGAGCTAGGTGCAACGAACATTTAGAAGATGTCAAAGGGGTCTTTATGTAGCCCTAATTGCAACACTTGGTTCTCTGTTGCACTCTAGAAATCTGTGGATTAGTGATGGCCACGGGGGCGGGCATGGTGTAGATTTCGACATCCATGCACACCTTGTGAAGAAAATACATCCATCCATAATTGCTCCATAACTATAATCGGTATTATTAAGAATGATTTTTTAATTGATGTATATTTTATTTAATATTATAATTCTGTGTATATAGGATTTTAAAGATGGAAAAAGGAAATAGATAATTAATTACTATTAATTACAAATAGTATAATTTATCTTTATGTTCTGATTTTATATCCTCTTTAACACACTGATTTACTTTTTTTAATATCTTGATTTACTTCCTCTTTTGTATCCTGATTGATTTCGTCTTCAATACAATTCCTTCGAGTTGGAGAATAGATGTTGTCTATTCCCAAGTTGCCAATAAGGGTTTAGAATGCTGAATTGCTTTTGCTTTTAGTTAATACGTCTGGGAATTAAGAGTTAATGAGTATGTATGGGGTACATATTAGGCTGCTATTAAGTTTTTTCTTTGATAAAATGTCTGTCAATTTCAATGTGTTTGATCTGATCGTGTTAAATCAGATTGTAAGAGATATTCATGACCGATTTGTTATCACAATGTAGCCGCATAAGATTTTTTTACTTGATTTTAAAATCCTTCAGGATTCTTTTTATTAATAGTAGTTTATATACTTCTTGTATTATTATCCAAAACTTTTATTTAACATTTGATCTTGCAACTACATTTTGTTTTTTACTTTTTCAAGTAATTAGGTTGCTCCCAAGGAAGGTATGGTAGCATGTAGTAGATCTTTTGTTTACAACCGATCTTGTATAATCTGCATAATATAGGTTTTTAGGAGCAATTTATCATTCTTCTTGAACATAATTCCTTTTCCTAGTGACTTTTTTAAGTATTGCAGTATTCTGTAGTTTGCTTGTAGATACATTTTTCTTGGTTTATGTATTAATTGGCTTATAACAGTTACTACATAGGCAATGTCTGGTCTTGTATATCATAGATAGATTAATCCCCCAGTTAATCTCTGATTACATTTCTTTCTCTGATACATTTCCTTATTTACTAGTGTATCTTCCTTTACTATTCTTAGTTTGTGATTAGGATAAATAAAAACGATAGTTGCTTTACATGCTAGCTTGTCAATATTTTTTAGCAAGTCATGAATATGTTTCTATTTAAAAATAAAAATTTCGTATTTGGAGTGAGCAACTTCAATGTCATAACAAAAGAATATTTTCATGCTTTAGGAACACTAAATATTTTCATGCTATAGCTAGCCACCGAAGACGATGCAATTACATTGATGATTTGTAGGTGAAGGGAGTGAAATACAGTGAGGATAAGATGAGAGAGGCTGCCACGTCACACTTTAAAGAGTTATATGTAGAAGAGTTCAGGATTCGGCCGAAATTTGATGGTTTAACTTTCAAGAATATTAGCGTGGATAGCAGGCAGAATATTGAGACTGTTTTCACTGAAGATGAGGTGCTTGCTGCCTTAAAATGCTGCAATGGTGACAAGGCCCTAGAGCCGGATGGATTCGACATGAATTTCATCCAAGTTTATCGGAATGTGATTAAAGATGATGTTATGGATGTTTTTGAGGAATTCCACCAGAATGAGAAGTTTGTTAGGTCTCTTAATGCCACTTTTTTGGTGTTGATTGCCAAAAAGAAAGGGGCGAAGCATGTCAATGATTTTCGTCCTATAAGTTTGGTGGGGTGCATTTATAAAATTATTGCAAAAGTTTTAGCAGCCAGGCTAGCAAGAGTATTGGGTGAGGTAATTAGTGAATGCCAACATGCGTTTGTGGAAGGGAAACAAATTCAAGATGCAATACTTATGGCAAATGAAGTGGTTGATGAGCTGGTCATGAATAAAATTGATGGCCTGATTTGCACATTGGATATGGAAAAGGCATATGATCATGTTTGCCGGGAATTTGTTGATTATATGTTGGGAAGGATGAGTTTTGGGCATAAATGCAGGGGGTGGATGAAAGCGTGTTTGTCCACCTCATCTTTCGCGGTCTTAATTAATGGAGGACCTTCCAAATTCTTTATGGGTTCTAGGGGCTTAAGGCAAGGAGATCCACTTTCTCCATTATTGTTTATCATTGTCATGGAGGCTTTAATTGGACTGATGTACAGAGCAAGAGATCTTGGACTAATTAGATGGGTGACAGTTGGCAGAGGATACAACAAAATGGAGATTTCACACTTGTTTTTTGCAGATGATACACTGCTGTTTTGCCAACCTGAAAAAAGAGGCTTGCAGTATCTCAAAAGTCTTCTTTTGTGCTTTCAAGGTGTGTCAGGTCTCAATCTTAATCTCCAAAAATCTGAACTTGTTAGGGTGGGTAGCAACGGTGATGGTGATTGCTTTGCTAGAATATTGGAATGCAAGTCCGTTAATTTACCTATCAAATATCTCGGTGTCCCACTGGGGGCAAAATTCAAAGATAAGACAACTTGGGATCCAGTGGTGAAGATGTTTGAATCGAGATTAGTGGGATGGAAAAAACAGTTTTTATCAAAAGGTGGCAGATTTACCCTCATAAAGAGCACATTTGCTAACCTTCCCATCTATTATCTCTCTATTCTAACCATTCCATGCAACATTGCTAAAAGGTTGGAGAATAGTCAATGCCGCTTCCTTTGGGGCGATGGGGAAGAAAAGAAAAAATATCACTTGGTAAAATGGTCAGAAATTAAGAAACCGAAAATGGAGGAAGACTTGGGAATTTGATCTCTTGTTGAAATGAATATGGCGCTAAAAGGCAAGTCGTTATGGAGGTACATTAGGAAGGTGGAAAGTTGTGGAAAGAGGCTATTGATGCTAGATGGAGTGGGGTCACTCTTGAAGGAGTTGTGGGTTTTAGACAGAAGGGGCCATGGCTTAGGTCTATGGAAGAACATTAAGAAGGAGTGGCCTTGTTTCAAAGAACGCATTGAGTGGCAGTTAAGCAGAGGAAATATCATAAGGTTTTGGCAAGATAAATGGATGGATGGGGAATGCCTAAAAGACAGATTTCCAGGTCTGTATGCAATTGCACAGGATAAAAATATGCAGGTTGAGGGTGCTTATTATTTGGTGAATGGCAGATGCTCTTGGTCGACTAATGTAACACAAAATTTGAATGACTGGGAAGTTGAGGATTATCTGGAGTTGTTGGAGTTGATTGCTAATTGTCAAATTAGTGATAAATTGGATCATATTATCTGGAGGCTGAATAAACAGGGTGAATTTATTATGTCGTCATATTATAAATGGATTACTGAAAGGATTCCAACAGCAGGTATACATTTCCTCACATTCAGATTTGGAAAGCCAGACTACCTTCGAGAATTGCATTTGTTGGTTGGGAAGCATGTAGGGGATGCATTCTGACCTTGGACAGACTACAAAAGAGGGGAATGATCCTGGCTAATTGCTGCTTCATGTGCAGGGGCGCAGAGGAAACCTGTTACCACCTACTTCTCAGCTGCGCGGTGGTATATGAGCTGTGGTGCATGATTTATAACTTATTGGGTATTTTGTGGGTCTCTTTGGGCTTGGTGCTGGCTGAAGTTTGGGCTTGGGATGGGATTCATTCCTCAAAGAATATTGTAAAGATTATTCTTTTGACTATTTTTTTGGGTCATTTGGAAAGATAGGAACTTGAGAGCCTTTGAGGCAGTAGAAGTATAGATACAAACTTAGAGATATGTGGTTTAAATATTTTGGGTCTTTCATATTGGGGCATGACATCATTAGAGACAAAGATTTTAGGATGTCATTGATACCTTTACTTCATTGTAAATTCTTGTGTCTACGGGCAGTACTCTCTTAGGTGCCATTCTAATTTATTCTTCAAAAAAAAGAAAAATTCAATGTCATAACCCCCACCTATTAGGGCAAGATCAGAGCACACTAATCTTAAATAAATACGTTCAAAAAATCTCCTAGAGGAAAAAGCCCTTTTTTTGAATTTTCTAGCCTCTTAACCACTTTATTTTCCACCTCTCCCAAAAATGATTAGTAGACTACCCATTAAGGGGACTCCCAGATAGTTCAAAGACCAATCTATCCTAGCACACCCTATTGATTCTGCTAGACTCACTACAATTTGGTCGTTCACGTTAACGCCTGTGAGACCACTTTTTCCCAAATTCATTTTCAGTCCTGAGATATGTTCAAAAAGTTGGATAAGAGTGAATGCATTTCTAATTGATCTACCATCATTTTGCAAAGCAAAATTGTGTCATTAACAAACTATTGATGTGAAATCCCTATCCTATTCTTCTACACTACTAAACCCTTCACCCTATTTCACTCTTTTGCTCTTTGCAATATCCTACTCAACACATAAACCACCATTGTACAGAGAAATGATAGAGAATCCCCCTGCCTCAATTGTCTCGATGCTTGAACCACTATCGGTGTTTTTCATCAACAATTATTGTGAAAGAGATTGAGGATAAGAAACCCTGAATCCATCTTCTTCACCTTAGGCGAAATCCCTAGTGCTCCATCTCCCCTTTGAGATGCTTTAGTGAACCCTATCATGGGCCTTTTCAAAATCCTATTTGAGAATTAAGCCTCTACCGTTAATGTCTCTAGCTATTCTTTGGATTAGTTGAAAAAAAGGTATAGAAGAATTTTTCTGGGCATTTGCTTTTCTTTTGATAGGATTAGATATTGTTTATTCTAGATTTTTTTAGATTTTTTTAGATTCTCTCCATGATGTAGTTGACCTGGGTAATGCCATTGATTTTTTTCTTTCTCGCACTTTTGTAAATTTGTGTGAGTGGGCACCTCTTTGGTTTCTTTCGATTCTTTTTAATTTATAAAAGGGAGAGAATTGCAGATTGTTGTCAACTAAAATTTAGAATGCCAAGTATGGCAACTCTGGAATGATACATTTACTCTATACATTTGTTTTAATTAAAAATGACGTGTATCTTATGCATTTTGTATATGTATTATATGTTGTATATGCATTAAGTTTTTTATATTAGATATTGTTTGATAGTATATATATGCATATATGTATATTTGTTTCAAGAAAATATATATGCATAAATATATTTGTTTACATATATATATGTGCATATACATATATATTATCTCATGTATGTGTTAGATTTACAATATTGGTCTTGTTCTAATTTTGTCATTACGAAGGGAGAGTATGAAATAAATAATTGGTGGTAGAGACTTAAGTGATTACATTCCGCAAGCTTTTACTAGGGTGGGTAGTTATGCACCCATTTGTTGGTGAAGACTTATCCTCCCTCCTTGCTAGAGTTAGTCTACCTTTTATATATTTTGATTCTCAAATATTGGCTGGGTAACTTGGCCCACCATACCTTTGCATAATGGACATAGCTTATGTTAACACCATTAGTTTTTCCAGAGGACTAAATAATAAATGATTTTGCTAGAGAATTCTGTTACTAATTTTATGTTATGTTTATTCTCAGAGATACGATGGACAAAGTTATATCAGAAGCTGCCTAGAACTAGTGGGAGAAATCCAAAAGAGCATAAAAAGCAACTTATGGTGCGTCCGCAGTTCCCAACAGTCTATCTTGAAAATAAAATGCCTGATGTTAGTAGCATCTCAGAAGAAGTAGTTGTTATCAATGACTGGAAGATAGGAGATTTGGTGGACTGGTGGGTTGATGGTTGTTATTGGTCTGGATGGCTAAAATTTGATGACCAAAAATATAAGGTAATACTTTTTGCCTTTTTTTTTTTAAATAAGTAAAAGTTTTTGCCATGATAAGCAAAAAATATCAGGCAATGCTTTTTGTCATGATCTTTTAATATTATATATGATTTTCCATTACTAGTGATTGACTCTTTATTATCGTCTGTGATTCCATTTGCTATATTGTATTAAACATTGTATTTTGTGATCAATTACCTATTGTGTTTCGATCTGTCAATGATGCTTATTCTAAGACATTCACTTCAGATACCACAGATTTAAGATTTTATAAAAGTTGGGTAGGTGCACAACATCCTTTGTTTCTATAGATAGACCAGGTTTAATCTCTCTGTTCTTTAATTAGTTAATGAAATAATAAAATTTTAGCTCTCTACAAGCAGTGGTGGTACCACAAATTACCTGAAGGGTGTGGAATGTAAGTTTCTTCTTTTGGGGTTGCAGGGGCAAAGTTCCCATGGTATAGTAAGCTTTTTTTTTTTGACAGAATAAGAATGTTATGTCAGGTTCCTTAGGCATGTACTCAGCTAAGGATTGGGGTTAAGAATGGTGGAGTTAGCAGTGGGGAGAAGAAGAAGAAGAATGAGAGAGTGATGAGGAAGAAATGAGAGAGAGAGGAGAAGGACAGAAAGAGAGAATTTTTCTGGTCATTGAAGTCAATAGTTGCAGAAGTGTTTATGTTGCTAGC